GGTCCAGGATAGGTGGCAGTCATTTATAGCTCGACCAGGGGAATACGCTAAGAGAGGTAAGAAATCTTGCCGCAGCTCCAGAATTTCTTACCGGGCTCATTTCGGATCATGGTGATTCGCAATGTCATGAAAGAAATAAATATTGTCGCGGTACGAGGGCTCTTGACGAGCTGCCTCGGCCAGCTTCTGGTATTCCACAGCCTAGACCTCTACCTACACAATGGTGCCCATAACGAAGAATTTGTAGTGGAGCTTCTGTAAGAGCCCTACCTGTAATGGAGTGTGAGGGACGCTGCTGGCTTCTTATAAAAATATCAAAAGATCGAAAGCGCTGGTAAAGGTGAAACACGCTGTAGCGGTGAACGGCATGCCTATTGAAGCTATTGCAGATAGTGTCGGTCGTTGACACGAATCCATAGTTTTGGAGACATTTGTACTAGACAGTGACTCGGAGTACGGATTTACTAGTGGTCGAGGTTTTTTGAATTTTCTTGGATAACTACTGACTGCAGCACTTATATCCACCTCGTGGATTGAAGCCTCGAGAATGCTCTACCATTTGTTAGTCATAAATGTTACCTATGAATTTTTCAGAAAAAAAGAAAATTTTAGAAAGAGTGTTGCAGAACTTTCTTTCCAACCTAATAGTTAGAGTGATATATGCGAGTTAGAGACAATTCAGAGTTTGTACCATCGGGTAGTAAAATAAGTGAAGCAACTTCTAGTTTGCCATGGTTTCTAGTCTTGCTTATCTTGCAATTGTTTCGAAATCCTGACGAAAATGTGTTGGTATTGTGCATTTCTTTTTTCATTATCCTTTCAAATACTATCAGCTTGACGTCGTGGATTATATATTACACCTCCACATGAAGAAGTGAGCGTTTTTTTTTATGACGCACCCATAAATTGCCAGATTCGCAGCACGGCTGACTAAACAAATATTAAGCGACATGTAAAGGGAAACCATGTTCGTCCGCTACACTCACCGGTCATCGCGCCCATCTTATTATTACTTATCCTGCGAATTGTCTCGCAAAATCACTTGAGCGGCACAGCAGTGCATTCTGTGGGCGAGGTCAGAGCAGTGGTGATAAGTTATTTCTATCCTGAAAGAGCGGATTGATGGGAAACGTATTGGAAACCTTCCGGCTAGAAGAAAGTAGGTACATCCTGATATTGGGGCTGAATACATTGTGAAGCGATATTCATGAATAGAAAGTGTATGTAAAAAAAAGTGGTAACATTGGCAGACGCTAATTATAATGGGACGACGCAAGCCATAAGAAAACCCAAACGCTCCTTTTTTGTGATAATTTACAGAGAAATTCACAAACTTCTCCTTCTTTAGCATCAAAATTTATCCAGCGTTGGTGGCAAAGCCGTCCATAAGTTGACTATTGACGGCCTCCTTTCACGATTACGAACGAGTGGATCTTGAAATTTGTGTAATGCCCAAGCTAACTTAAGTTCACAATAAACGTAGTCAAGCCCTGCGCTGCATTAGGCGCCTCTTGGGTTAGGTCTCTTTACTAAAATCACAAACTTAGATATTCATTTGTATTTTGAAAGTTATTTAGTAAATTTCCTGTAAGACTAGTAACTAAGTAAGGCTCCAGGTGATGTTGTGGATCAGATCGGATTTCATGACAAATCAGTCTTTCGTTAGGAATGAAAGTAGGGACACTAAGAGGTGCAGCATTGAAAAAAAAACTCAGGGAAGTGGTCTAAAAACCGCATAGCAGGACCTCTGGTCCCTCTCCCCGCCATTGATTTCTTATCTTATCGTTGCTGGCGTAATCAACATGAACGCTCTGCTGTGCTTTTTTCCAAAACGGCTAGGTTCCGACGGCGGAGGGTTGGCCAGCCAGTGGGCTGGCGGAAGGGCAGCCGTTCAAAGGTTGGTGAGGGCCTCCTAGGGCTCTTCAGGAACGCACTCAGCCTGTGAAAGCGTCATGTCTTGCACCCTTAAGCGCCTGCCTCCTTCACAGTATACATACCTTCGCTATTTCAACTTCTAATTTATCGTAACACCTGTCTTGAAGCTGTGTTCTGTATATCAACGAAATTTCAAAAAGTGCTTCATAGTTTTTAGTCAACGTCAGCTGAATTCGAGGTCCTGTAGGCACTGTAATGACGTTATGCATTTTGTGTCAAAAATGAACTCTAAAGCACTTTATCCTTGTAATAACCGTTTTTGGAATTATCTTTGATCCTCGTCCCCTGCATGATTTCATGAATTCCAGGTGGGTACGTTTCCTTGCGAAAGGTGTTGGGATCGTTGGCGGTTTTGTTGCAATATTCTTTGGAGCGCTTGGTCTGCTGTCTCTATCGGCTACGTGTGTTATAGCTGTATTACTGCAAATGTATGTTCGCAGTTGGAACTGTTATGAACGATGTATTCAGTGAGAAATTTTTTAATCGTTGGTTTTTTTTTGTTCAGGGTATTCGGATTTTTGACGATTGCATTAGAAGCTCCATTCTGTTGTATGTTCGTAGATTTCATTGAAAAGATCGCACAGTTCAGTGAGTCACGAAAGCACTGGCACAAAGCAGCCCTCTATGGAACGTGAGTTTTTTGCCAACTGCGATTTTTTGTCACATGGTCTTCGAGGAAGACATTACACTAATGTCAGCTTTCGAATGGAATTGGAGCAAACTTTGAGAAATGTTTCCATAACACTTCCTTGTCAATTCTCGTTTAGTATGGGTATCATCCCCATCATTATGTGCTTCGAACTCAACACGTTTCTTGGCTCGGGCATGATTTTCGCTTGTGGAACCATCTACGGCTTCATGGCTTTGGGGAAGAAGGTTGGTCTCGGTTTATTGGAATAGTTTTTTGTCGTCTCTCAATCAAATGGATCTTCGTTGCTCTTGTGATTTTACCTTCGCAGTACAATGTTTCAGGCGGATAGAGGAACGATGATGGCT